CACACGCACACGCACACGCACACGCACACGCACACGCACACGCACACCCACACACACACACGAACGCACGCACGCGCGCACACACACACACACGCACACCCACACACACACGCACGCACGCACACATGTAGTTTACGTTGAACGGTGACGACTACGATGATGATGACGGTGATGATGAAATGCAGCAAAATGATTATCAGTACGTGACTCATCCCTCCCCTTCCCCTTCTACTCTCTTCCTCCTCCCCTCCTCCTCCCGTCCTCCTCTCCTCCCCTCCCCTCCTCCTCCTCCTCCTCCTCCTACTCCTCCTCCTCCTCCTCCTCCATATACACTGTGCGTATGCATATAATTGTGCAGAGCTCCTCTCCTCCTCCTCCTCCTCCTCCTCCCTCTCCACCTACACTGTAGGTATGCATAGAATTGTGCAGAGCTAGGCCCCTCCCTCCTCCTCCTTCACATACACTTGGAGCGCCACCCACCCCTCCTCCCCCGCTCCACCTACCCCTCTCCCTCCTCCCTCCTCCTACACTGTACGAATGCATACAATTGTGCAGAGTTTTATGGGATGCTGGGGCGACTGTGCGGAATGCAGCTAGAGCTAGGCTTGCAGCACTTAAGCATTATTGCTTCACTTGACACTTTTCCGATGAACGCTGTTCGATGGGGGAATTTGCTTCCACGAGGCTGAGTTGTTTGTTATGGACTGCTTTCGTCCTACAGTACGCGGGAATCTGGGTGCATGTACGTGCGTGTGCGTGCGTGCGAGCGTGTGTGTGTGCATGTGTGCGCGCGTGTGTGTGTGTGTGCGCGCGCGTGTGTGTGTGTGTGCATGTTTGTGCATGTGCGCGTGTGTGCGTGCGCGTGTGCGTGTGCGTGCGTACAGTACAGTACATGGGGATGTCTCTTATTCATGTTGTTTGTGCACAGCGCGGGCGTGCGGTTTACTTGCGTGTTGCAGATGAGCATTTGACTGGCATTTACAGGTGATTATAGGCGAAATAGAGTAGAGAAACATTAAGACTTGGGTAGTAAATACATTTCGTGTTTATTTACCTTCTTTTTTTTATTGAGACGTTCCAAGTGCCTGTGTGTGCGTGTGTGTACTTGCATCCATGTAAACCGGCGGGGAGGAGGGGGAGGAGGGGGAGGAGGAGAGGAGATGTCACATTCCATCTCGCCCACGTTATATGAGTAAACGTCTGACTGGCGGTCGGCGCTAGTACACACACACACACACACACACACACACACACACACACACACACACACACACACACGNACACACACACACCACACACACACACACACACACACACACACACACACACACACACACACACACACGTAAACACACGTAAACACACGTTACGCACCTGTACGCAGCACACCTGAGCGACTCACCTGGGCAAACCATCGCATTACGCTATTATTACGCATATCAGTGTAGATGGACGCCGACGCGCTAGCCAAGGCGGTCATTCTCGCACGCGCCACCGAGAGCCGGCGCCCATCTAAGACTTGCCTCGTGCGGCTGAGTCAGAGATTAGTCAGTGAAAACAGGAACTTGACTGGCATGCGCACGTGGGGGGAAGGTAAGGGGTGCAGGTGCGTGGGAGGCAAGCGCAGGCACTTAATTGGGACCAAGTCAGTAACAACTGAAAATATATGAACG